CCTGCTTCCTCCCAAGAGGTAACAAACATCCTGAATTTGAACCTATTATTCACCCCTTCAAAAGTAATAGGTTTATAACATTTGTATATATGCCTAGACAGTACATTTTTAATATTTTTTAGCTTTGCTTGGTTTTAAGTTTTATGAAAATGGCATCCTGCTATATATAGTCTTCTGAAATGTGCTTTTTCCCCCTCAACATAGTGCTTCCAAGATCTGAACATTTTTTACCTTTATTTGTAATTCAGTGATTTTCACTGCTATTTTTAAAATTCATTGTGTAACTCTATCACATTTAATTTCTCCATTTTCCTATTAGCTAGAAATTTGGGTTGTGTCCAGATTTTTTTTTTTCTTTTTTGGGGATTACAAAATGCGCTATGGATATTCTTTAGTGTATCTAAAAAGGGAATTACTCAGTCGAAGGGTATGCAATTGTTCAGTTTGGCAAAATGATGCCAAATTGTTTTCCAAAGAAGTTGTACCAGTTTATTCTCCCACCAGCAGCGTACTGGAATTTCCCCTGACCTATTTCCTACTCAACTGTTCTTAACTGTTAGCCAGTCTACTAGGTATAATAAAATGGTATCTCAGTGGGACTTGCCTTTGCATCCCCCATCATTGATGTGGTGTGGCGTCTTTCCCTGGGCTTAGTGGCTAAACTGCTTCCTTTTTTTTAATCCCTGTGCAGACATTTTGTTCATTTTTCTGTTAGGTTGTTTTTCATCTTGATTTGTAGAAGTTCTTTATTCTGGATACGAAACCTTCGTGGCTGATCTATGTTGCAAATAGTTCTCCCTGTTTGTCTTTTTATTTTCCTGATCTTTGATGATTGGAAGTTGCTTTAATTGTCAAGTTTATCAGTCCTTCCTTTTATGGTTATTCTTTGTATCCTGTTTAAGAAATTCTTCCCTACTTTAGGGTCAGAAAGATATACTCCAGTTTTTTATTTCCTTCAGTTTTAAAGTTTTGTTTTTCACAGTTAATTCCTTAATCCTCCTGAAATTACTGTATATATGGTATGAGGTGAGGATTCATTTTTATTTTTTCCCCATTTGGATAACTTGCTATGCCAGCACCGTTTAATGATTAAGTCTTCCATTCTCCACTGATCTGAGGTTCTCCTCTCAGTTCTCCATTCTCTCCCATTGATCAGCTTATCTATCTCTGCACCAGTCCCATACTGTTTTAATTACGATAGCTTTAAAATAAATCATTAGCCAGATTCTTCTCTTCATCCCCTCCTCCTAATACCTTGTGAATCTCTTGGCTATTCTTAGCTGTTTGCTCTTCCACATACATTTTAAAATCAGCCTTTCAAGTTCCACAAGGAAACTCTGATGGAATTTTGATGGAAATTGCATTGAATATATAGATAAGTATGGGGAGAATTGATGTCTTTACTGTATTGAGTCTTCTTATGTATAAACATGAGCTCTTAATTTATTTAGAACTTCTTAATGTAATTTAAGATAAGGTTGCAAGGTGTTCTATATAAAAATCTTGTAAATTATTTGATATATTTATTCCTAGGCATCTTACAGGTTTTTGTTTTGTTTTTGCTATAAAAATGATGCTTTTGAAAAACTGTATCTCCTAGTTTTTTTTTCGTGATATATAGAAGTACAGTTGACTTGTTTATACTGTTCAAGTAGCCATACCTCCTGTTAAACTCTTTTACTATTGCTAATAACTTGTCTGTAAATAATTTGGGCTTTCTATGTAGATAATTATATCACCTCAAAATAACAGTAGTTTTGTTTCTGCCTTTCTAATGCATATGTCTTTAATTATTTTTTTACAGTACTGGACTTATGTTGATTTCAAAAAAAGCTGAAAGTAAAAGGCTATTAAAAGATATAGCACGCAAACTCCTTAAAGAATCAGCTACAGTAGTGTTATACAAAATAGCTTTTAAGAAAAGAGCATTGTTAAGAAAGTGGGCTTCCCTGGTGGCGCAGCTGGTAAAGAATCCACCTGCAATGTGGGAGACCCAGGTTTGATCCCCAGGTTGGGAAGATCCTCTGAAGAAGGGAATGGCAACCCACTCCAGTATTCTTGCTAGAGAATTCCGTGGACAAAAGTCAGCCATAGTACTAGATGCAGAAATCTCTTGTATTCTCTTTATTATTTTTCCACAGCATTGATCAATACTGATGTACTGTATATTTGTTATTACCCTTTTTTCCCCACTGGAATATAAGCTCATGAGGTTAAGGATTTTGCCTGTTTTGTTTAGTATGATATCTCTAGGATCTAAATTACTGCTAGATGCTCAGTCAGTATTTGTTGAACGAATGACTATGGAGGGTAGAGAAAGTAGTGCAAAAAAGCAATGCCAAATCTTGAGCTTTTACCTTGAAATGCTCTTATATGTTCCCCCATGACCATTGTCACAAGTTAACTTTTCCCTAGACGGTTGTAGTCCACTTCCAACTGGCTTCTGTCTTTACTTTGTGGTCCATCTGTCTTTTCCAGTTTATCCTTCATAATACTACCAGAGTTTTTTTCCCCTAAATATTGATCTGATTATCTCAGTGTCTTGTCTTGGCTCAGCCTATAGAATAAATTGTAGTTTCTCTAATGTGACATTTAATTCCCAACATAGTTCCTAGCCTTATTTCTTCACTGAGCTTTCTATGCTCTAGTCACATCATAACACGTCTAGGCTCTTCAGCATGCTATGTCTGTGGGTTTTCTTTGTGACTGTGCTCTTAACTTTTGGGTTCTCTGAGCCTGAAAAGTCATTCTTTTGTTTATGCTTATCAAAATCTTAGTCATTCTTAAATTCACCTCAAGTCATTTCCTTCCTAAAGACTACCCTGATGTTCACTGAGAAGGATCATCTAATCCCAGCGATTTCTTTTGCTGTTTTGGTACTTTCTGTAATCTGCCTATAAAAAGTTCTCTCTCTTTCCCTACTAGGTATATTATTAACCTCTTTGAAGATAAGGCTTCATGTTTTATTTTTCTTTGTTTCCCGAAAGTCTGCAATATAGTGTTTTAAACATAATGGAGCTTTGATAAATAGTTGTCAAACTTATTTTGAAGGTTTGATTTTTGTCTGATGCTGTTTTTCTCTTTCTGCTATAGTAAACTAATCGTGTCTCATGTCTTCAATTACCACGCTCCAGTGACAGTAAACTTCAAATCTGAATATTCCTATTTCCACTGTCCTGACTAGTGCGACCAGGCCTCTCACACAATTCCATGTGTCATCTTCTCTTTCTTGTTCCCCCTCCCAAATCAGTACCGCTCATAAATTTTCTATCACAAAGACACCATTCTTCCAGTCACATTAACTCAAAACCTTGGTGAAATCTTTATCACCCTTTGTCTTAATCTTCTGCCTTCAACTAGTAAGTCCTGTTAATTTCTCCTTTAAAATGTTCCTCAGCTCCATAACTCCGTCTTCATTTCAGCTGAGAAGTCCTTGGATGGAGCCCTTATGACCCATACCCGGTTCTGATACCTCCCCCTTCCCTGGGCTTCCCTGGTAGCTCAGCTGGTAAAGAATCCACCTGCAATGCAGGAGACCCCAGTTCGACCCCTGGGTTGGGAAGATCCCCTGGAGAAGGGAAAGGCTACCCACTCCAGGATGCTGGCCTGGAGAATCCCGTGGATGACAGTGACTGAGCGACTTTCCCTCACACTTCCTGTAATCTTGCCGCCCGTAACATAAAGATCAGATGACTTCACCTGGCGTTTAAGACAATGCAGGGTCTAGGTTCATTCTGCTGCCTACAGCATGCGTCCTCTGCTTGCCGTCCAGTCAGACCTCTTCCTTTCTCCTAAGCTGTGTCATGACCTTTCATGTGCTCTGCCATGCTCGCTCCTGTTCATTTTTCAGGATCTGGATAACAGACATCACCCCTGCCCCCCACCTTCAGTGAACATTTCCCTTAACAGGGGAAACGCTAATCGTTTCCTCCCTGTTCATTTTTATTTTTAGTGCTTATTGCTTTCACTGAGACTTTAAAAAGAGTCAGCAAATTGGTAGGGATCTTAAAAGTAATCTAGTTTAACCTCTAACCCAAGACCTCAGTCTTCTTCATAACTCATAATTAGCATTAGCTTCTAGTATTACACAAAGCTCCTGATATTTCTATTTATATAGTGGACATCTGGAAGTTAGGAATTTGGTTTCCTGTGCTTTTATTTTCCCTTTTAATTCTTAGTATGGTTCACTGTCCTGGAAGACACTGAAAATATATTCATTGATTGAATAAATGAATCATAAATTTTCTCTTTAGACAATTTACAGAGGAAACTTACTTGCCCAAAAGCCTCTCTGCCTTCAACTAGTCACAAAATCCTGTTAATTTCTCCTTTAAAATGTTACTCAAATGTCTACAAATGAGAATGACTTTTTAAAGAGTCTTAAAAGATGGTGGATACATTTTCAGCCTACCCATTTCTTTATATGGCTCTGTATTAGCCTTGACTTTTATTTTCCTCCTTCTTGAGATTATACTTGGAATTTCACTTTTGCATGAACCATAAGGTGTATGAATTTTAATGGAATCTGTTGAATGTTGACCATGTTTTCCTACAGTAGTTTAGAACTATTTAGCAAGAAATATTCCACTTGACTCATTTAAATGAAGGTAATTATCTTGTGGCTGGGAATTTATATAAAAATTTCCAACCACAAAAGCCCTTTGTTGTGGGCAGTAATAGAACAGCTTATAATTTGTACAGGTTTAAAAGTTATTACTAGTCATTACTTCTGAGGGGTAAATAGAAATGATAGCTTTAATTCCTTTGTGATTATTTGTATGATATAATTTTGAAAATAAGATGTTTCTATAGCAAGGATGTTTTGGGAAAGTTAGTGCTAACTTCAAGTATGTCAAATGCTTAATGTAGAGGGTACTTGCTATTCAATTATAGTTTTGATGAAAATCCAGAAGTGACATTTTCATATTATAAGAACTTTTTTCCATTTTAGAGCATGTCAAAAGAATATAGTAATTTGAATGCTCTATTTTTATTTCTAGAAACCAGCAAATATCCTAGTAATGGGAGAAGGTCCTGAGAGGGGGAGAGTCAAAATAGGTAGGTAATTATTTCTAAAATACCTTATTAAGAAACTAAAATGACTGCAAAGATGGTTTCCCTTTTTAATACTCTTACTTAAGTAATTTTAAAATTAATTCCTCATAATATTCATAGACAAAATGTTGGGAAATGTAGATAGTTTATAAAATCCCTCAGGTTTATTCCCCAAATAAGGTTCTATAATTCTAAGCTGAGGCAAGCAAAAATTCATTCCCATACAATACTCCAAGCATGTGTTTATGCTACTGTTACTGTAATGCTACTATTATAGTCACCCTAAACATAATCCCTTGAATCTTACTTTTGTCTCAGCTTTACCAAATGTTTCCCTAAACCCATCCTTCCCACCCTGACCCTGATTTATACATACAGATGCTCACAGATACCTCCCCCTGCCCTCCCCTCTCCCTACTGCATGTCTTGTGCCAGGTACCAACATATCTTTTCCAAATGAATATATATGTGTGTAGACTCTCTTACTTGCCAGTCTTAGATTAAGGCACTGGCAGAAGTCTTGTTTCTGTACTAAAAATTTCTCTGCAACCTTGAACGTTCTAAAAGAAACTGGCATCATTTATACCAGTTTATGTCATTTATAAATGACATATATGTATATCATTTAGACATATATATATGTCATTTATACTGACATATTTGGGGAGAAAATAAGCTGAGAAATGCTTTATTCTAATTTTTTTTATAAGAGAACTTACATTTATTCAGTGTTCAGTGCTTTTAAGAAAGATTTTAGAGTAGATTTTATTTTATCAACCTGCTTTCTTTGCTATTAGAACTTATCATGCTAGAAATGATCCAGAACTGTGCTAACTTTGCCTACTACAAATTCATTCTGTCCTGCTTCAACCAAGCATACCCTGCTGCCTGGTTTTCTACTTCTTCCATTAATTGACTAGCCAAGTTCCTGAAGAAGCTGTGCTAAACCAACTTTTCTTCCTTTAAACCTCTACTCTGAGTTTGAGACTGAATCATAAAAAAATTCTGTTGATGTTAATTAAGAAGCAGGTGGGTGCTTTCTTTCCCTCTCCCATTTCGTTCCTCCTCCCTCTCATCCCCTTTCTACCCTTCCTCACTTGTTTCTATTTCACCCTCACACTTGTATCGAGTAGCAAGTTTTTCCCCATGAAAGGGAAATAAAGGATGGTCCTCCTGTGGGAGACACTAAAATAGGCACTTTGGAGTGTCATCTCCTTTGTTTTACACAGCCACCCTCTGGTAGGCACTGCAGATAAGTAAAGCTGGATTTACAGAGGCAGTAGCTTACTCGGCCTTTCAAAGGAAGCACTTGAATTCCAAATCTGGGGTCTCTTTCACTCCAAACATTGCTGCCTGGTGATATCAAAGCTATCTGGTATGACCTGACTGACCACTTTTTGTCAGCACAGCTCTGCCTTTGAAACAGCCTCAGAAAGTGTCTCTTTCTCCTCAGTCCTATCCCATGCCCTTCTAGGTTCTAAATACCCTTCCTGCTGTACTTCAGTCCTTCTAATTACAGTTTTTCTGTTCTTTCCTTCTCGTTTCTCCTCTTCACCTTTAAACACTCATAATCCAATTTTAACATAAATTTTCTCACATCCATTTTTTTTTTTTTTACCATTTGTTCAATTTTTTCCCCTTGTTCCTCTACTTCTAAAATCATGCTTACACATCGGTTTCACGTACCCTAATTTGTTATCTGTTATTAAATTCTTTTTTTTCCCTGACATCAAATTCTGTTCCTCTGTTGAAACTGCTGTCTCCAAGACTACTATGGTCTTTATCTTACCAAGTCTAGCAGCCTGTGTTTAGTCTGTTTTCCTTCACTCCGTGTCATTTGTCCTTCTAGCTCATCTGGCGTGTGAGTGTCCTTACTTTGGCCTCTGTGACATCACATAATGCTATTTTTCTATTCCTTTTGCTGTGACTTCTGTATTTTATTCATTCTTGTCTCATTCCTACTAACCTTCTGTTTGAAGACAACCTAGGCACTGGCTCGAGACATGGCCTCCCTCTACAGTTACTGCTTTAGGGAATTGATAAGTTATGGCCTTAAAATCTTGGGTTTTATAAAAATGATTTTAAGATCTGGATCTCAAATTCTGTTCTCTCTAACTCTCTATTTGGATGTCTTGCTGGCAACCTAGATTCCATTAATTCCAAACCAAATTCATCATCCTCATCTTGTACTTTCCAATGCTGTCATCATATTTATCCCAGTCACCAAACTTAATGTCTTCTCCTTAGTCTCCCAAGTAGCTCTGCTACTCAACATGAATTCTGTATTCCAGCCAGGCCAGTTAGTTGCCTTATTGTTAAGAATTTAGGATTATAATTCTACCCAAGATTAGAGAGAAAGTCAGGGTTAAAAGTCAACAATAATTAGTACTAAAGGTCTAGTGAACAGTTACAGTTAACCTAGTTGATTAAATTATTTTTATATTTTGTTTTAATAGCACATTATTTTAAAAAACCCAGTAATGCATTGATATCTATGCTTAACACTTTAATATAGTTCTTTTTTGATTGAAAGAAAAAGCAAAGTTGAATGAAAGACACATTGTGCCCTTCCCTGTATCAGAAGCTTCCCCTCCCCAGCACCTGAGACTTACAGGCCTTTCCTAAAATGCTCATTGCGTTCTTTACTATTCACAGTGATTCTGCCTTCAGAATCCAGCTCAAGTTCCACTTTCCATTTAGTCAGCTTCTGCAAATGTTTATCAAACATTGTTCCAGATAAAACCATGGAGACATAACCTCTTCCTGCAAGGGACTCTGAATCTAACAGAAACCAGTAGCAACTTTCCTTTTTGTCTTACAGTACTTACCCTTTGTATCCACGCCATGTATTTTGTCACCTCACCTGTGTGTGAGCTCCTTGACTGTAGACATTGCCTTCTGCTGCTTTTCTGTCATTTGACACTAATTAGCACCCACACCACAATTCTACTACCTCTGTTGAACTGAATAATTTAACTCATATCCAACTTTAGGAAAATAGGTGTTAGTAACATTTAGGCTAGTTACATTTTGTCTAAATTAGTAATCATTTGAAAAATGGTTTGAAAAAATTATTTTTAGGAGTATTTATTGTTTCTCTGGGCTTGATTTCATGTTTCAGTGAATTGGTGTGGCTTACATAAAACTAAGAAGGTAGAGAATAAGGGGAGAAATACTGGCTTTAACCTTTACTTAAAAATAGAATGCTTTTCAATGGAGGGAATAGTATTCCATCATATTACTTTGCCATCAACAACAATCAGCATCTATTCAATATATAAAGCAGTGCTTAGAGGTAGGGGTAATATTGGTAGACTGGTTTTGAATATTTTTGTTTGCTATAGGGAAATTTGGTTTAAAAAGTGTAGGCATCAGCACAGGCATCCTTGGATAGCTTTATTTTTTAAGACGCATGTTCTCCAAAGCATTCTCAGAAAGTTCTGTGAATTATTCAAACTCTAAAGAAATAAAATCACTGTAAATTAAAAGTTTAATGCATATCATAGCCTATTGGTTTTAGGTTAAATGATACTCTATTGTTGCAACTTTAATGTACTAGTGCATTGTATAGTACATTAGGGACCATTATATAATCAAACTATACTGTATGTATTACCTATTTCAAATTATAGAGGCTTATATTTGTGATTTATCTTTTTACCTTTGTGACATGCAGTTATCATATGTATAATCTGTTGTATATCATATCCATGGTTAAGAACATAGCTGCTAAATTATAACATGATTTTTGCTTGAGTACTGGCATTTTTACTTCCTATCCCTATGACTTTGGGCAAGTCACTGAACTGCTTTGGGCCTTAGATTCTTCATCAGGAGTGGGGGTAGGGGGAGAATACTTATTAAACCAGCATTCTTATGAGGATTAGATGAAGTGATGATGTGTATGAAAATCATTTGTAAGCTCTGAAATGCTTTATAGATATAATGTATATGTTCTTTAGGAAATCTTAAGAAAATCAGATAGTAACCAGTACATTATTATATCAATAGTAATAATCTTTTTACTACTTTTGTATACCTCTAATATTTAAATTAGTTAGCTTTGGTATAGAGCTTTGTTAAGTGCTGAATTGTAACAAATTCTCTTACATAGTCTATATATGTTCTTGAAAACATGTATGTGATGTTCTAGTAACTATACAACAACTGGCTTTCTGGGGGAAAAAAAATCACCCCAGTTTATAGCATGCACTGTTTTTCAGGATGTAAATACTCCCACCGTAGCCAATTTCAAGCCACAAACATGACATTACTGAACACCATGTTGGGAAGATACTTAAATTGGCTCTCGTGAGTCCATAAAAGCCAACTGTGGCACAGGCTGAACTAAGATAGACTCAAGATTTTAGATATATAGGCATACAGAAGTCATAATCATGAAAACATTTAGACTTTAAAAACATATACGTATATTATTCTGTCTCTGAAAGCCATGAATCTGGAATGAGATCTTGATTTTTATTCTGACTCTATACGTACTAGTTCTATGACTTTGGACAAGTCAGAATATCTCTAAACCTCAGTCTCTTCATCAGTAAAATAGGCACAATAACAATATCTCCCTCCGAAGGGGCGATCTGGTGCTAGTACAGACCACTGGTTGGAAAGGATTGCTTTGTAAGGTTAGTGGCTATTGTCATCATGGTTATAACAGCATGCCACACTGAGTTCCTATTAACTGATTTTATTTTTTAGCTGACATGGGTTTTGCCAGATTGTTCAATTCTCCTCTAAAGCCACTGGCAGATTTGGATCCTGTAGTGGTGACTTTCTGGTATCGGGCTCCAGAACTTTTGCTTGGTGCAAGGCATTATACAAAGGCCATTGGTAAGTTAATGTGAAATGATTGACTTATAATTGGTAAGTATATCATTATTGTGTGATACTGCATTTATGATAAATACTAAAGGGTATAATAAAGCTGCTTTGTAAAAGCCACTTTATATGGCTTTGTGAAAGTCCTGTTGTCATCTATATTCCCGGATTTTATATTCTAGGAGCTCTGGATATTCAGCTATTTAGGAGAATATGATTCTTTTTAAAAAAAGGAAGCATTTTCTTTTTTAAAGTATTCACTTTTAATCGGAGGATAATCGCTTTATAGTGCTGTGTTGGTTTCTGTTGTGCAGCAGTGTGAATCGGCCATCAGTACCCACGTGTCTCCTCCCTCTTGGGCCTAAAAGAAGGCATTTGCTTTCAGAGGGTAGAAGTGTCTGATCTTGTTGAGTTGCTATAGAAATAATAAAATGCAGATTTTGTTTTGCACCTACCTACTATTGATCAGAAGAACTGGAGAGAGGTTTAGAATTTTCTTCACAAAAAGAAAAACAGAAAAACTGAAGCAGTGTAGTTATTGGAGGGAGCCCCTGCTATCTGGGAAAAAGTTAATCAGGCAGTCCTGTCGTAAGCAAGAAACAATGTGACTGGTCCTTCTCTCCTGCCATTATAGTTATCAGAATGGCAGTTTCTCCTTTAAGGTAGGAGACAGAGCCTGGGTAGGCTGGCTGTGCTCAGCATCTTGCCATCTCACCAAGCGTAAACACTGAACAGGAAAACCTCACAGTCTGTAGGGTTTAAAGTCTGCTTCAGAACAGAGGCAGCAGAGATTTTGCTGCCTGGCCCTACAGCGTCCTCAGAGGGCCCAGATGCCAACTGAGGGGGTCGGGAAGAGAGAGCTGCCCTCAAACCTGGGTGCCGCTTTAGAGGAGGTGAAAGGGGAAGACAGGGCGGGAGTGGGGCCACTCCTGCGAAGGCCTGGTTCTACAAGGGGGCTGCGCTTTGCTGTGTCTTTACAGCTTCCTTCTCTTGAATTCTGTTTACTTGTATTAGACTAATTTTGACTGCATTCAGCTGCTTTGGTCAAGTTCTATTTGATAAAGGCACTTAAATTATAAAATTATTAAAAATAGACAAGCACAATCCTTTCTCTCTTAAGCTTATGAAAAACCTGAAAAGAACTATCAAAGAGCTATCAAGGAAGTTCTCACGTTTGAAGAGATCAAACTCATAATTAACCTCTTCATGGGTAGAAACGGAAACAAAAATTAAAATATAGTAATGTCCTCATTCGTCAGGAAGTCTGATTTCTGCAAACTCAGATACCCAGAACACATTTATACTTCCTTTGTCTAGGGATTGAGACACTAGCACAGTGTGGAATATTGTAATTCTTCATAAGCACTGTTGAAGGATTTTGTTAAATTAGTGAAAAAGGCTATGAGTGGCCACAGCATCACAAGGAAAACCGTATGTGTTTGATAGCAGAGGCATGTGAGACTGACCTCAGACCCACGCCCTGGCAGCTGAGCCTGTAGTAGTAAGACCCCTGACCAGAGGCTGTCACCCTTATCAGCCACGGGCATTGGCAGCTGTCCGTGAAGGCGGGAGGACTTTTTTTGATACTAAAAGTAAATGGAAGGGATAGAGCAGGGGTCACCAATCTCAGGGCCGTGGACTGGTACCTCCTGTCAGATCAGCAGTGGCATTAGATTAGAAATAAAGTGAATAATAAATGTAATGCGCTTGGATCATCCCCCCTCCGCCCAATTCTGGTCCGTGGAAAAACTGTCTTCCATAAAACTGGTCCCTGGTGCCACAAAGGTCGGGGCCTGCTGGGACAGAGCGGTTCTTAGAATAAGCCTGACTCTGTTTCCATTCCAGTGGGTGCACTGAGGGGCTTTATTTTTGACACATTTAGCATTATGGTTGCTTTTTCTGTTATTAGTTCACTCTCAAGAACAATAAAATCTAGACAATCTCAGAAGGTACCAGAGGCTGGGAAGGTGCAAAAAGTTAAGGCAGAGAAAAGAGGAGTACTAGCTGGGGGCAACAGTTGGTGCTGTAGAACAGGACTGGCGCTGACAGCCCCGGGCACAGGGTGGGAGTGCAGGATGTGATAGCAGCGGAACCTCCCCTGCCCTGGCTCTTACCTGGCACCGTGCGGTCTGTGTCAGAAGGAGAGTCCAGGAAGAGAAGGAAGACTTGGCCGGAAACCTTGTTAAACAAAATGATGCCCCATCAAAGACTGTCTCACTCTCAGAGATTCTTAGCAAACCCACGGCCTATGTTTAACAGGTACCTCTGGTGGATTGTTGTGTGTGGTCCCCACACTTTGAGAAGCATGGTTGTATGAATATTTTCTGATTAACTGTTCTACTGTTGTAAAATATAGATGTGCTTTTTGGAAATAAAGGTAATTGGGTTTGAACTGGAAACCAACTATATTTCTTATTTCCTCAGGGTAAGGAGAACTGAAATTGAATTTTAACCAGCTTGTGACTTACTAGCTCAGTAAAAATGAGACTTAGCAATTAAAGATAAAAACATAATCACTGATTTCTAATTCTAGTAATCCCGATTATTTATTCTGGATAGAAGTTAGGAAAAAAATTAAGATAGAAAAATAATAATCCCCACATTAGTTAGCTTATATATTCATAGTAGACATAAATATACAGTTACTCATTCTTAGAGTTCTGTGTACCTGGTTCATATCAGAAATGAGTATTATTTCTATTCAGAGCATATAAAAGAGAGTTTGATTTGGCATCAGTGAAAATTTATGAAATGAGGTTTAGCCCAGGAGGTGAGTAGTGATGGTTGTGGTATGTGTGTGAGACACACACACGGGGAGTGGGGTGGGGGGAGGCAGGGAGGAGAGGGGAGAGGGAGAGAGAGAAAAGTGCAAGTCATTGATAAAGGAAAGAGCCGAGAAATGGGTACAGATGATGCTGGAGCCAGATGATCATTTAAAATTAGATGCTAACATGAGGCAAGACACCCTAGAATTTAATACCACCTGCTACATTGAGGTTCCTTCTCTTAGCAGTTCTTCAGGAAATCTAGATACAGGCCGCTGTCCTTTGATTTGAGGGCAAACCAGGAACCGTGTGGCCAGCAACATACAGCAGTCTCCATTGACTGCAGGGTAGAGACAGCTGCAGGAAGACTTGGGACAGTCAGAGGCTGCCACAGCAGGGCCACGGGGACGGCCAGCATGACATGGCAGACAAAACAACGACAAAGTAGTCACTGACCAGTATTATTATTCTACTCTTTAGTGATGGATCTTCATGATGTGGATGATTAAGTTATATTGTACAGCCTCTTAAGATGGCAGGTAATAACGTAATAAAAATGGTTATTGAAAGGATATGTTCCCATTATCCAGAAGGCTAACTTGGGTGGAGGGAAACCATCCCTGAATGCAGTCAGATACATGAGACATTACTATATATTTTTTTCATTTAGTAATTTATGAAATGGCGTCCCAACAGTAATTCTACCTGATAGCTTGTCTACAGAAAGTGATTCCTATGTTTAGAAGACTTCTAAACACTGTACTTTTCTATGCTGTCCCATAGTCTGTGTGTTGTTAACTTTAAAAATACTAAGTGGCATTAAGTGGGCAAGTATGAATATACATCTCACAAGAATTAATTCACATGTACATTTGGCATTATAAATATTACAGTCTTAGAATCTAGATTAAAACTATATTATAGTTTTTCAATGTGTAAAATCTAAATAGAATCATCTTTAACTGGTTATTTGAAGTAGTTAAGAAAACTCTGAAAGATACCTCAATTTATCTTGGCATGGTTGAGCTGGGGCAGCATCTAAGTGAGTATGTTCAGATCACTTCTCTTTACTGGTGTCACGCAATGCTTGTATATACTTGTATTTATCAGCTTCTAGGAATGGCAACCCACTCCAGTGTTCTTGCCTAGAGAATCCTGTGGATAGAGGAGGCTGGTGGGCTGCTGCCTATAGGGTCGCATAGAGTCGGACACAACTGAAGCAACTTAGCATGCATGCATGCGTTGAAGAAGGAAATGGCAACCTACTCCGGTATTCTTGCCTGGAGAATCCCAGGGACGGAGGAGCCTGGTGGGCTGCCGTCTATGGGGTCGCAGAGTTGGACACGACTGAAGCGACTTAGCAGCAGCAGACCTGACCACTTCTTGAAAACACTGAAGGTGGTATCTTTCAGACAAAAGCTGAGTTTTCCCAAATCATTTTGTGTAATCTGTACTGTCTAGACTGACAACTGAAAAATTCTAGTCATTATGTATTTGATTGCTGTAAAGAAACATATCACTGTACCTGATTATGATATTATTTTATTCTATCACATCTTGAGTGTTATGCCTTGTATTAGATTATCAATTGAATGCTTCAGCAATTAAATTATTAATAGTGGTTAGAAAAGCTTTTGCCTAAATGGAAAGAAAGTTCATTGCTTGCTAAATTGAGTTCCCCAAGTTTATCTTGATCAGGAAATTTACAAGTTAAATGTTTTTTGACTTTCAGTCTGTTATGTGATGGTATAGCTATGCTGTGTTTAGTCGCTCAGTCGTGTCCAACTCCTCGGGACCCCATGGACTGTAGGAGATTCTGCAGGCAAGAATACCAGAATGGGTTGCCATGCCCTCCTCCAGGGGATCTTTCCAACCCAGGGATCGAACTCAGGTCTCCCGCATTGCAGGCAGATTCTTTACTGTCTGAGCCACCAGGGGAGCCCAGTGATATAGCTATTTCATATCATATATATGTTTTCTCAGTATACTTATTGTATTCACTGAAAACTTAAAAAAATTTATTCGGGGGATTCTTTTCTTTTTAAAAGCTATACTTAATATGCAGTATTATATTAAGATACATGACATATATAATTTTTATATGTTACAAAATAATCATCACAGTAAGTCCAGTTACCATCTATCACCATTGTAAAGTTATTACAATACCATTGACTTTATTCTCTTCGTGTACATTTCATCCCTGTAACATCCTTGGAAGTTTGTACCTCTTAAGCTCTTTTACCTATTTCATCCATCTGCCTACCTTGAAAAATATTTTTATATGTAGGTTGTGATTATACCAAGAAATTATAACCAAAGAAATATAATAAATATGTACAAAAACTTGTTTTTCTTCCTTCATAGATATATGGGCAATAGGTTGCATATTTGCTGAACTGTTGACTTCAGAACCTATTTTTCACTGTCGTCAGGAAGATATAAAAACAAGCAATCCTTTTCATCATGATCAACTAGACCGAATATTTAGTGTCATGGGATTTCCTGCAGGTAATTTTTTTTTTTCAAAATAATATTTGAGTCATATTTCAAAAACATTCTTTTTGAAAAGGACATTTAGTATTTCTATGTATATTTTTAAGCTAAAATAACTAGATTTTTGATAAATAACATTATTTCCTGTAACAACATTCAATATTTTTTTTTGCCTAAGATAAAGACTGGGAAGATATTAGAAAGATGCCAGAATACCCAACACTTCAGAAAGACTTTAGAAGAACAACGTAAGTAATACCATATTACATACAAGTAATGTGCAGTGGGAATATTTAAATTAATCCTTTTAAAAACCAGATAGGTTATTGTTTAAACCAGAAACTTAGATGTTAGTATATTAATTATGTTTATGATTTAAAGAAGATATTTCAAATGTTGTTAATGTATATGCCAGGCTTAGGCATATATTTATTTTAAAACTTTTAAGAATTTAAGGGTCAATAGTTTAAAAGTCTCTTATGTTTAGCTTGGAAAGGGTCTCAGTTCAAGGCCTTAATGGTAGTTTTGTCTTTGTATCATGAGTTGTGTCTGAAATGCTGGGCTATGCAACCAGTAAGGGTGGCAGGAGGAAGAAAACATGTCCTAGGATCTGAGTAAAACTAACTAGTGGGCATGTGTATGCTGAGTAGAAATGGGAGGAGTTTGTTACAAATATGTGCACCTAGAGGAAAAGGTGGGAGAGATTCTCGTTTGGGAAACGTAACGGAAAAATTTCAGGACAAGAATGGCTTGTAGAAATGAAAGCAGACATGATAAAGAGAAGCAGCGGATGGCACTGATCATTTTGGGCCTCTCTTTCACACAGACCTAGGTAGGGGTCCATGCATCTCCTAAAGAGAGTGCTGACATTGCTCAGGTGTCTGAATTGGGCTCTCTTCTCACCCTAGATATTTCCCTAGATAGTCTCTGTGATTTTGATGGCTGTAGCGCACCATCAGTTATGCTGATGGCTCCCAATTTATACATTCTGCTCCAATTTCCTTTCCAAGTTTCAGACCCATGTATCTAACTGCTTTTTGGAATCCCAAATTGAGTGTCCCATAAATACTTCAAAATACGTGTCCCAAACTGAGCTCATCATCTGTCCTCCTAAACTTTTCCTCCCAATATATTTCTTATCTTAGGAAATGGCTCCATGATTTACCTAATTGTTTAAGCCAAAGACCTTAAAGATGTCCCTGATCCTTCTCCTGTCTTCCATTTAATCCCCTAGTGTCCAAACAATTAGCAAATCTAGTAAATTCTTTGTTTCATTATCCTTCAGATCTCTGTATTTCTCTCCATCTACCCTGCCACTATTATAGGCCAGACTACCACCCTCTCTCTCACCTGGGATCCTGCATTGGCCTCATAAGTGGTATTTCTACCTTGAGTCTTCATTCTAACTCACTGCCTGTTCTGCAATCATTGCCAAAAGCACATCTGAGCATGTCAGTCTTCACATTGCTTTCAATTTTTAAATATGGCTTACAAAAAGCTTTGGCATCTACATCACCAAATTTATCTCCTAAACCTCTGTCCACTTTGTACTCTATAGGCTGGACATCATAAATTTCTTTAAGATCCTCAAAACCCCTGAGCTTTCTTGGACCCCTGGATTTTTACACATGCTGCTCCCTCAGTCTGGGACGTATAACTACCGTCCTCCCACCCATTTCATTGGATAACTCCTGTTTATCCTTTCTATCCTGATAAGGTCTCCCCTTGCCCTTCTAGTCAGGTGCTCCCCCTCTGCACTCCTGTGGCATATTCTCAGCTGCTTCTCTCAGCACACATCACTCTGCCTGACAGTTGGCTTTTGAATACTTTCTGCCTTTCCCTCTAGAATATGGATCATGCCTATTTTATACACCATTATAGGCATCTCCAGGGCCTAGTATATAGTGCACATTCATTAGTTATTTGTCAAATGGGTATTAAGTGAAAGTGGTTCAAGTAATTGAAGATAAGCTGATAATACAAAAGAGAAAATTAATGAAGACACAACATTTTATCTTAGTATTTAAAGGCCTGTAAAATGATAGTATTTATAATAACCAGGAATAACAGGAGAGAATAAATGAAATTTAGTTTAAAAAGTAACAGAAAAAGTTCAGAGATAAAAGCCCATACTTTCTAAGCAAATAATTTTATCCACATAAAGGCCGCCTACTAATACATAACACAAAAAGGAATTTATTAAAAATTAGCTAAATATAATGCAGTGCATAAAAGTCACTAAAGTATAATAAAAAATTCCAGATATTATTTCAAATGACATTAAAAAGTAAACAAATAACTTGTTTTCATTATATCAGATAAAAAGAACCCAAAAAATTACTCTTGATGTGAATTGTGAAGGGTAACAATAGAATTTTCTGTAATCTTTCCAAAGTGTCAGCTCTTCTTAGCTCATTAGAAGGCAAGGTGAAAACAGAATTAAAAGGAAATAAGTTGACTTTAAAAACTGAATGTTTGAATAAACATGCTGATAAAATGCTTTATAATGTATATAGAGAGTTTGAAAATTTTTTGGCTCCTAAACTGTGGTAAATCTAGAAGAGGATAGTACAGAAAATGACAATTTATCTTATTTGTAATACTAGGAAAAATAAGAAACCACAACGGGAATTGAGCAATAGGATTTTTCAACTTCAGGACCTTTTATATTATGATAGAAACAACCTGAGAATCTGGAGTTAACAAAAATCAGTTGATTCAGCATAAAGACCAAAGCACTGTTGACAGACTCCATTTCTACATAAACCTTAATGTTTCATTTAACATCACTAAACTTAATGGTTACCTTGCCAATAAAAATATTCCTGGTATTGGAGGAAAATAATTTTTAAGTTAATATACATGACAAAGATTTTCTTAAAAATACCTGGTGTTAGCAAGGGTATAATAAAATGGGCATTCTTACTTATAGCTACTGGGGAGAATGAAAGCTCTCAGACATTAAGGTATCCACAGATCACCTGGAGACCTTGTTAAAGCTGCAGACCCTGACTCAGAATCTGTATAGGGCCTGAGTACCGCATTCCTAGGGCAGGCTTTCAGGTGCCCATGCTGCTTGAGGGCCAGGTTCATGTGGCAAGCTCTAGAGCACACAAAAAAGGCTTTGGCATGTACTTACCCTTTGACCTAATAATTCTAAGGCTTTATCCTGAAAAAGCATCAAAGCAGCCACACATAGCTAAGATGAGGCACCTAAAGGCTTTCATAGAGGTTAACTAACTCCCCAAGATCACACAACTGGTAAACGACTGAGTCAGGGTCTGGGAGGGGCCTCTGATTCTCACCGGCCATGCAGTCCTGTCCCCCTCAAAGTGCACCAGATTTACCTACAAGGATCTGCACTTTCTAACTGTTGTGAAACAAACATCATTAGTAACAGTAGAAAATGTTCAACCAGCACAAATAATAAGCTTAAAGAGCGTCTGGCAAGAGAAAACGCTTATAAAACAACATTAAGTGAGAAAAGGACAACTTATATATACTATGATTCCAATTTTATAAAAACAGAAATACCTCTTTGTGTGTGTATATATATATGTATGCACAGAAAAAGTGCCAAAGAAAAATTATCAAATCTTGATGGCAGAGTTTTTTTAATTGCTTCATAGCTTGATTATGAGTGTTTTCAATTTTTTCTTTATACTTTTTTATATTCTCTAAATTTTCTACCATAAACATATATTACCTGTTTCTTGACCTTTTAAATTTGAAATATTTCATATGTAGGAAAGAATATACATGATGAAAATATGTAGTCTATTTAGAATAATAAAATAAATATTTACTCACCCCTCAGCCTGAGCATTTGATATCCTAATACAGAATATGTACATCAGAAGGAATTGCTGGGTTATAGGATAGTCATATTTTCAGCTCTAATGGTTAATGCATTATTTTCCAAAGTAATTCTAACAGTATAAACTCGTACATGCAGTGTGTAACAATTCTTATTTCTTTTTTACACATTTACCAACATTTGGTTTTGTGTTCCTGTTCCTTTTTAATCAGAAAAAAAAAAAGCAATGGCTAAAATGAATACATACCTCATAAGAAAACCAACCTTGGAACCTTCCATTAAAAGATGTCAATTGTGTGAATGTCCTCAATAGTGTGTGGATGTCATGTCTTTGCAGGTATGCCAACAGTAGCCTCATAAAGTACATGGAGAAACACAAGGTCAAGCCTGACAGCAAAGTATTCCTTTTGGTAGGTGCATCTCTCCAGAGTGGGAAGGTGATCCTTAGCACAGCTCTCACCCCACCCCACTTACCGTGGAATTGTCCCAGCTCTTCCTCCTCTTCAGGAAAAAAAGAAATTGGTGAATGCTGGGGCAAAATTAAATCTTTTTCCTTTGAGATGTCATCCTTGACTTTTAGCCTTGTTTCCAGTGGTTTACCAGTAGGGAAAAAAAATTCTAAAACGGCTTTACTGCTAATCATTTCTGTCAGTTTCACATAAATGTGTGTAGTGTATTAATAAACTGGCATTTGATGTTAATTCTATTAGACACTAACACAGTCAAAACATTCACCTGGAAGCAAGCTTTCATGTGTTGTCAATTTCTTATGTGTTATTCTAGCTTCAGAAACTCCTTACGATGGATCCAACCAAGAGAATTACCTCTGAGCAGGCTCTGCAGGATCCCTATTTTCAGGAGGACCCCTTGCCGACATTAGAGTATGTTTCCTTCCTTTTCTGTGCACTTGGCTCCAGGTTGAGGGTGTGCGGTGGTGGCTAAAGGCAAGGCAGGCACTTTCACTCGAGTCTTTTATTTCCTCGGTTAAAACCACCTCAGGGAAAAACTAGTCGAGAGGTCCTGTATTTTGAAACAGGCAAAGCTGTAAAGAGGTGTGAATGAAAACAAGTTTATGGAATGCTCATTAATCAGTTTTACAGACAAAAAGCAAAGCTGAGAACAGATGGGACTTTTATTATAGATCGGTCAGCCAGAACAGTTTACACCAAACCAGTAGGGAATGGAGCTTTTGAAATTCTGTGTCTCTGCTGCATTATTATATCTCTCCATTTCCCCATCCTTATTATACCCACAGATATAAATTGTGCTTGGATTTACTGATATTAGAGGTACAGCTTTTCTTGAGAAAAAAATTACTTTCATTGTTGAAGCAAATACACAGTCAGCTCTTTTTAGTGCTGATGAAGTTTGTGTGGAGAAATTTCTGTGTTACATATATCAACTAGCCAACCGCAGTTTTAAGCAAAGTGGCAATTACACCAGTGTAAAACTTAGATGACAAATTGTTCTTTTCTTATTGCTTAAATTGTGTTGAGAGGCATACCAGCCACAGATGAAGAGTAGGAAATAAGGGGGAAAAAAAGTGGAATTTTAAATGAACAAGGTCAATCATATTATAGATTTTAGGTCATGATATGTATTTTTTTTCCTTCAATGATTTGTAGTGTGTTTGCTGGCTGCCAGATTCCATACCCCAAACGAGAATTCCTTAATGAAGATGAACCTGAAGAGAAAGGTGACAAGGTATAAATTGCACTTAGGGAAGGATAAATGTAGTAATTCCTATATATTTAACTGCATTTTATTTAATTGTGTATTTACTTTATTGTAGATGTACTCTGCAATTTGAAATACGCATTCACAGATAAATGAACTTCCTGATTCGTTTTACAGTCTATTTTATTCCCCGACTCCTAATTCTTCCTTCGTTTGTTCAGTGTCATTGCCATCATTTTATGCAGGCTGCTTTTAAAGCATCACTCTAGGCTTTGATTGTACTGACTCCTCCCCACACAGCCCTTCTATTTCAAATTGACTGAAAAGACTGATAGAGCTGTTTTAAGGAGCTGCTCTTTCCTCTGTGCCTGTGTCTTCAGCGGCATGTCTGTCCCTGACAGGGAGGATTGCTGTGCAGTCTAAATGAACTTCAGAGAACGCGCCTTCTTTGGGGCTCCGTGCTCACCTTTGGGGGTGCTGCTCCATCCTCCAGGCGTGCCAGTCACTTTGGTGTCCCACATAGGTCTCTCCCCAGGTTGGCCGGCAGTCTCACATGCATATCCTACAACAACAGGCATGCTTTCGTTCCATATCAAGCTTGCCTTTTTTCCCTCTTCTCCTAAGAACCAGCAACAGCAGCAGAACCAACACCAGCAGCCCGCAGCCCCTCCGCAGCAGGCGGCTGCCCCCCCGCAGGCCCCACCCCAGCAGAACAGCACCCAGGCCAACGGGACTGCCGGCGGCGCGGGCGCCGGGCCGCAGCACAGCCAGGACTCCGGCCTCAGCCAGGCGCCTCCCAAGAAACCGCGGCTGGGGCCTTCAGGCGCCAACTCGGGCGGGCCTGCCATGCCCTCGGACTATCAGGTACTCCCCCCTGAATGTTACACTTTTTCATGTTGACATACGGTTAGAAAGCAAAATTCAACTGAGCAAATTTTCAACATCTCATTGGCTGTATTCAGTGATTCATGTATCAGCAGCTCACCTAGCATGCAAAAAAGGCTCTGAAGAGCTGTACAAAAAAAAAAGACTTCTGGAACAGTAAAGGCAGAAAGAGGTGGGAAAGGATGTTACTTTAGCAGAAGACTGATCATGTCAGGCCAGGGCACCTTCCTCTCGGGACTGCAGGGGTCTACCAGCTAGATGACTTCTCTAGTGCTAAGCGGAGACTCCAGACCAACTGGGGAAGAGTACATTCCTGGGAGGGGCTGAAACTGCAGTTAGGTTAGGTACTGAGTCTCAGTTTGGTTACATGGGCTTAGCACAAATGACTCCATTTTAAGCCTGTTGTCTCTTTTTTTAGCAATACATTTTATGAAACGGTAAGTATACATAACAGGCTTTCCACGTAGCTCAGTGGTAAAGAATCTGCTTGCCAAGCAAGAGACACAGGTTCCATCCTTGGGTCGTGAAGATTCCCCTGGAGAAGGAAATGACAACCCACTCCAGTATTCTTGCTGGGAAAATCTCATGAACAGAGGAGTCCGGTGGGCTGCAGTCCATGGGGGTCACAAAGAGTCAGACACGACTGAGTGACTAGAAAACAACAATCCTTTTAGAAATGAGCAGTACTTAACTCTAAAGTTTGATTTTACAGTCCTAGTCTTTCTAGGGCATTATATGAAATTGAAGTTTTTTGTCATTTCATGTAATTGCAAGATATTTTGTTTCTTGTTTATCTTATAACCCTGAGGAGGGAAGGTGAGGCAGGCAGCTCCTCCTCAACATTTGTCATTTTACAATGTCAGGTTTAGGTCAGAAAAAGACCTCTAGATAAGCAGTGGAAAGGGAGAGGAGTGGTACCTTACTGTGAACAAAGCAAGCAGCATATTTCAGAAGGATCTGCCATCACTGGGAGGAAATAATCAGTACAGAGCCACATGACGGAAGAGAAGGGACAGAGACTTGTCGGGAATAACTGTTAAATCTCACAAGAAATAATTTTGAGACAAGAAAATACATTTGTTGAGATTCAAACAAAAACTACAATTGTATTACCAATTCAAGAAATTAAAGGAAAAAACCCTAAGGATTGGTATTTGGAGAGAGAGGTAAAAATACGGGTGAAAACCATAGGGAATCTTGGGGGGAAGAAAGTTTTCAAGGTAGTAACAAACTTAAGATCTAAGAAGGGAAACAAAAAACTTAAAAAAAGGTTTAGAACCACAGTCCCTCAGGGAACTGGTGGAGAAGGAGCACATAGGAGAGAGATAATAGAAAACAAAACCACAGGCAACGAAGACATAAACTCACTGATTAGGCCCTGGAAACCAGAGAAACGTTAACAAGAAAGACATAATAAACAGCTGTTTAAACTGGCTTTACATTTTCAATATCTCAACACAACTACTTTGAAAACTTCTCTTGGAAGATTCCCTGTAAGCAGCAGAGTATATAATAGCACTTCCACTGGTTCTAATTAAACTAATCAAGGCATCAGTTTGGTCTGCAAAGCAGCTCGCTATTTGGGTAGTAGTCACGAACATATTTGAATTTTACTATAAAGGCAGTTTCCCTGCTAACATTAGTTTATTCCTATTGTATTATATGAACAACAAACCTTTATCATATACTAGCTCATCTTGGTGTCTCTGATTATGTTATATTAGACTGATTATAGTCAATCATGGACAGATGACTTTAACTACTGTATTTACTGCTTTCAAATCTAGGAGTTCTTCACGTTTTTCTTTGTCCATACTGAGCTGTCTACTTAAAAATAAACCAGGATATCTGTGACATGGGTAGCTTTCTCAGCTAATTAGTTGGAAAGATTACCATGAAGGGTGAGGGTGAGAGACCTCTTTGCAGCTGTCATATTATCAGCACTGCTGCTGCTGCTCAGTCACATCAGTCGTGTCTGACTCTTCGCGACCCCATAGACGGCAGCCCACCAGGCTCCTCCGTCCCTGGGATTCTCCAGGCAAGAACACTGGAGTGGGTTGCCATTTCCTTCTCCAATGCATGCATGCATGCTAAGTCACTTCAGTCATGTCCTACTCTTTGCGACCCTATGGACAGCAGCCCACCAGATTCCTCTGTCCATGGGATTCTCTAGGCAAGAATACTGGAGTGGGTTGCTATTTCTTTCTCCCACATTTGTTCTCTATCCAGTATGGAGAAGCTATTGTGCAGAATCTAATCTGCTAAAGTAAAAGTAGTCATAGGCAGCCTAGCAACTGTGGGCCTTGTGAATGGAAAGAACATTTTTCCATAATAAACTTACAATAAAATGTTAGAATTTGTCAAGCCTTCTTGCAACAATATGACTAAGATTTGTATAAACAAAGGAAAGAATTAAGTGGCATTATTTTTAACCAAGACTATCTTATTGCCCTGTTTTCTTGGACCAGATGTTGCAAGTCCAGTTTGGCTGCCTCTCGTGCAGAGTGGGGCCACCTTGCTGATTTGTCCTTCACTAAACTGGCCAATGCCACCCCAAGGTCATTTACATTTTAAACTCCAAGTAATAGCTTTATTGGGCTTCCCTGCTGGCTCTGACAGTAAAGAATCTGCCTTCGATGCAGGAGACCTGGGTTTGATCCCCTGGTTGGGAAAATCTCTGGAAGAGGGCATGGCAACCCACTCCAGTATTCTTGCCTGGGAAACCCCACGGGCAGAGGAACCTGGTGGGCTACAGTCCACGGGGTTGCAAAGAGTCAGACACGACTGAGCGACTAACACTTTCACAGTAGCTTTATTACATAGGATCTTGTCATATTTTGCTCAAAGGAAGAACCAGTCTTCTGGGCAGAGCCAAAGACACAGCTGCAGTTAACGCTTATAGTTAACCAAGCACCATATTCTATTTCTATAGATGCATTTTTCTTTTACATATTTTTTCATATTTGCCCTTGATACCATGAAGATGAATGTTTCATTTAAGGTAATAAAAATACTGAATTGAAATACATTTGTCTTAGCCTTCTTGAGGGAATTTTCACATACAATTTTTTTTTTCTTTAATTCTAAATGTTACCTGAAGTTGATTTAAAAAGGCACCTATTTGCTGTTACCTTGTCTTGCTTTGTCAGGTAGGTGGTGCTGCTGAGGCTACTCTAGCCTCTACCCGAGGAAACTCTTTTCTAAAAAACGATTTCTTAGTCACAGCTTTGTTATTTATAATGAGAAATTAACAGCACATCAGTATACATTATGAACACCACCAGATCAAAATGCCAAATTGATTCTTCCTGTTTGCAAATCTCAGCTATGCAAAGAATCACTAACCAGAATTAGTCAGCATCAATTTCCCCTCTTCCTCTCGTTGCCAGTGTAGCTTATCTTCCGAAGACATCCAGCCAGCTTTCGTGCATGCCAGAACAGTGGTAGCAGGCTATGAAGTGAAATCAGCAAGACGTATTGACACACGAAATTAGCTGTCAGCTACCATGGTTCAGAACCCACACCTTCTGTGTCCTATTGCGATGAACATCTTGAGCCGCTCTCGTACCCCACAGGTCATCCCCTTTTCCTGTTTCCTCTCCTAGCACTCCAGCTCGCGCCTGAATTACCAAAGCAGCGTCCAGGGATCCTCTCAGTCCCAGAGCACACTAGGCTACTCCTCCTCGTCTCAGCAGAGCGCACAGTACCACCCGTCTCACCAGGCCCACCGCTACTGACCGGACGCAGCCCAGAGCACAGACTCCAGCAATATGACATCTGCATTGAAGGGAACCAAAAATGCAAGCTCTGATGCTGCCATCCACTTAGGAGGAAGACTATTTACGGAGCATTTTGCAAGACTGACTGATGTCTCTTCTTTGGTGACTTAAAGAAGATTTTTTGTGAAGTTTCCCCAACAGCCTTTCCCTGCATGTGTTCCATTGTGACTTCTCTGATAAAGCGTCTGATCTAAACCCAGCACTTACCTTCTGTAACCTTCAGCATCTTTGGGAAGGACTTCCTGGTGCACCTTTCTCATGCTGTAGCAATCGCTATGATTTATCTTTTCAAAGCTCTTTTATTAGGATTTTAATGTTTTAGAAACAAGACTCCAGTGGTGTATAGTTTTATACTTCATGAACTGATCTAGCAACACAGGTAAATATGCACCTTTTAAAGCACTACGTGGTTTTCACAAAATATAACTCTTTTGTTCATAGAAGTCTTAAATAGGAACTGTTACTGTCCCAAAGTACCTTACTATTACATTTTTATTTATCTAGTTTCAGGGAAGGTCTAATAAAAAGACAAGTGGTGGGACAGTGGGAACCTGCAACCAAAAACAGCCTAGATCTTTGCAGTTACTATGCTTTATGCTATGAAGAACTAAAACATGTGGTAATTTTTATATAATCATTCATATGGAACTTAGTTCCCAGAATCATCTTATTCTGAATAGTATTCAGTAATTAAGAATGATAATTTTAAACTTCACGTAGCTTAAGTCTACTTTAAAAAAGGGTTTCAAGAGCTTTGATGAAATACAGTCCTCTGGTGACCCACACCAGAAAACTGAAGAGAGTATTAACTGCACTAGGATTTCTTTAAGAGTAATGTTGATCAAAGGATGTGTTGCTTCCCTTTGAAGGAAAAGCTTTTCTTGTGTATTGTACATACAGTTGGCTTCTCTAAAGAACTGTTGGTTTCCTCACATCTGGGTCAGCTTGAGTAACTTTCTTACATAATCAAGGGTACTCAAATAGAAGCCTGCAAATTAATCTGCTTTAAAACAAAAAGCAGTGTTCTCCATTCGTATTTGTGTTAGACGTAGAATGACTATTTTTAAAGCATGTTAAAAGTTTAGGTTTTGTTCATGTTTCAAGTATGTATGATGTATGCATAATTTTGCTGTTATTACTGAAACTTAATTCTATCAAGAGTCTTTTCATTGCACTGAATGCTTTCTTTTGCCCCTAGGAGAAAACTTAATAATTGTGCCTAAACTATGGGCAGATAGTGTACAACTATATTAGCTAAGTACATATTTGCATTTCTCTGATCTATGAATGACAGGCTGAGTTTGCCCTTAGCCAGTGAGTTCTTTCTTAGCCAGCATAAAGGAAGCTCCCCAGAGTCCCACATAAATGTAAAGACTTAAGAGCTTCCATCGTAATGTAAGGGGCAAGAAATTTGTGTTCTTCTAAATGCTACTAGCAGCACCAGCCTTGTTTTAATGTTTTCTTGAGCTAGAAGAAATAGCGGATCGTTGTTATATGCAAGTTATATGCATTTTTCACTCTTCCTTGTGAACTTATCTACCTGGTTATCTCCTCTGGGTCCATATACAAGTGAAATAAGATTTTAGACAGAAGCCAGTATACATTTTGCACTATTGATGTGATACTGTAGCCAGCAGGACCTTCCTGATCTCAGCATAATAATGCTCATTAATAACAAAGACTGTCTAGGGGCACTGATGAACACTGAGGATGAAACAATTGACATGCTCCTTTGGAAGGAATTTCTGATTGTCTCCAGGGTAATTTACTGCTTCCATTGTTAAAAATGAGAAACTAGTATCCCTCTGCATAATGTAGCTACCTGTGTGAAGTTCTGTCCTGGGCCCTGAAGCCTCAGTGTCATCAGATCCTCACTGTACCCTCCCCCTGTGCCCAGCATCATGCTGGGGGAGGTAGGAAGGGCAAGACATACTTCCTGTCCTTGAAGAGCTCATGATTGAGTCCATGACAGGAAGCTTTGCTGGGATGACAGGCTTGTAAATGAAACCATCTTAGAACATGAAGATCTCTTCGTCTACTTCTAAACCCTCTTGAAGAGAGTTATTATCCCAAATTTTGCCCTATAATAAACAAGTATCATGGAGAGGTTTCTATGTTTATCTACCTTCAAGAAAGCCAACAATTAAGTATCACCACAGGCATTAATATATATTTGAAATGTTTACAGCAGCCTTTCAACAACAATTGGGTGGCCCTTGTAGGCAGAACATACTCAACTAAGAGTTTGTAGGAAATTACAGTGAAAAGAGAAGCTCTGTTCCTGCCCTTGAGAGGGGTGTACATTTAGTAAAAGACAAACCCAAATATGTGCATGAATCATATATCATGCCCTTTAATACACTTTGAATAAATTCTTGTGATGTGTGCTTACAGGATCACAGGACTACCCTGCTTTCTTTGCATGTAGTGAATTTCAGTGGCAGAAGTAGTACAGAAACTGGTGGGGATTTTGCAGTTGTTTCCGGCGTTCTTCACACGGGCTCTAGCCAGACGTGCCCACACACACGTGACTGTTTCTGGTCACTGCGCTGGTGCTGGCCCGCTCCTCCTCTGGTTTTGCCTCAGAGCTGGTGATGCCCACTGGTGTCCATTACCCTTGGAAATAATTTTGGTTCACAGTTTCCTTTTCCTTGTAAAGGAGAACAAAGCCTTTAACATACTCATGGGCCCTAAAACTGTGGGCCCTTGAAGGAAACCTGTGAAGATTTTTGAGGTTAAAATTTACTTTTGTGTTCCCCAAATAACCACATTCCTCTTTAAAAATTTATCACAGTCGGTGTCCCCTGAGAATGCAGGGTGGACATCCAAACCAGGGGAAGTTACCGAAAGGAAGGGAGGAATCAAAGCAAAGGCTTTCTGCATTTCATATTACAAATCAGTTTTTGAGTTAGCTTTTGGTAAGGTGTGTATTTAGGATGAAGTATTCTAGAGTTTCAGGACAGCTGAGCTCACAGGTAAGGCAGCCTGGCGGCAGGACTGACACTATGAGGCTGAAACAATCCTTATGATGAAGTAGATCATGCAGGAACATACAAAAACCAAGGACGTGTATATTTTTATATCTGTGTGGTTTTAAAACTTTAGTACTTAGAATTTTGGCCTTCTGCACTACTCTTTTGCTCTTGTAAACACAATTTACATTTAAGAATGGAAAGGGATGACATTTACTTACCTGTTCACTGCCTCATTCCTGGTGAAGCAACTGCTACTTATATGCCTCTATAATGATGCTGTTTTCTCTGCTGAAGATAAGAGAAAAAAATAGTTGGACAATAAGCCTTGCAGCTTAATCTGCTTGGAATACTTGTATGTGACAAACTGTACAATGAAGGAATATTCTATGAAAATTACAAATCCTAACCTCTGTAATGTTATCTTTCTGGGGAATGGAGAAAGGCAGTGAAACGGCAGACTAAAGGAAGCTTGAAGGATTCAAGTATAAATAATATTTTATATAAAACATAGCTGTTTAGGTTTCCTTAATCTTCAAGAATAGTCACAAATATCATAAGACAAAGTTCATTGTTTTAGGGTTTTTTAAAAATGTGTTGTACCTAAGGCCATACTTACTCTTCTATGCTATCACTGCGAAGGAGTGATATGTATGTATTATATGAAAAAAAATCCTTAATGCACTGTTATCTCCTAAATATTTAGTAAATTAATACTATTTAATTTTTTTAAAAATTTGTCTGTGTAGACACTAAAAGTATTACACAAAATCTGGACTGAAGATGTCCTTTTTAACAACAATTTAAAGTACTTTTTATATATGTTATGTAGTATATCCTCTCTAAACTGCCTAGTTTGTATTTCCCATAATTCCTCTATGTGAAGTGTATCTGTTCTTGTCTCTCTTTTCAGCCATTTTTCTGCACGCATCCCTGTTTGTACGACTTTAGACATGACTGTGTATGCTTTGCACACACACTGTGAGGTGTGTGCTAAGAACCGGCCGCCCCCCAGTGAGGCCCGCTGCCCCCAGAGGGGCCTGCTCCCCGGGGTGCAGGACTTGCCGCTTTGGAGCCAAGTGTTTCTCGCTTTTGAGTTTTCCTGACATCCTTCCTGAAATGACTGTTAGAAATGAATTACATTGCATTTATTTTATATTCTTGGTTGTAATAAAATTTAATTGACTTTGTGTCAGTGTGGATTTTTTAAGTGTAGGAAAAACTCTTGTTACAACAAGTTTTAGCGTTAAAATCTGATGTGTGTGCCTCGAAGCTTTTCAGATTACACTTGTCCTGCAGAGATGCAGAGTCTCCCTGTGAGCTGCAACATGTTATCTTATTTAGGATGCTTATGATGTCACAAAACCAAAGAGGCAAGGCTTGCAAAAAATACCTCAGAAGCAAAATGACAGTTTTTTAAACATCTCTAGGGGAGATAATCTTTTTTTAAAAAAATGAAATTTAGAAAGATGTTTTAGAAAAAGCAAATAGGCAGCATTTTGTGGAAAGAGTGGCCCTGGTAGTTTCTTTTACGAGGACATTAACTTGTGCCTGGCTGCCCCCTCCTACAATTTACTTGATGAATTGTCTATGGTTATTCCAATGGTTAAAGGCATCGTGGCGTGAACTGAAGAATGTTTAAGTGACATAAGCATTCAACATAAAACTTGAACTCTGGGACTTCCCTGGTGGTCCAATGGATAGATCCCACATGTCACAACTAAGCCTGTGAACCACAACAAAGATAGATCCACTGCAGTTGAAATAATAAATTTTTTAAAAAACTTCAACTCTATTTAAAATAGATATTGCTTCACCATTTGACACAGCCTCTGTATTTAACACTGTGACATTCACAGGGTAGAGCTTCTCTTGGGGAACTGTTCTCTGACCACAGCTGCCTTTCTAACCAGCCACCTGGGTAAGAGAAAGTGGATGACTGCACAAACCCCTTATCACTCCTGGGAAAACAGCCGGAAAGTATCG